GATATGTTGGCCCGAGGAGTGCAGGGTGCAGGGGGGGGGGTTGTCCTATTGTCAATGAACCCAAAAGTTGTCCCAGCCATGCACAAGTTATGTACATTTAGAGAAATATATGCGGATCATTTAAAATTAATAAAATGGATAAAGGGTTGCATATGGTATTGAATATTTCATCATTCGTGAGTATAAACAAGGTGCAAGTTCAGGTTATAAATATATCCTTATTTTCCTAAGTGCACACACAAGAACCAGCCCAATTTGAGGTATCGAAGGAATGTCGGGGCATGTCAGTCTCGTCCTGGAACACCTGCGTCTCACCGTTTCCGCCAGGTGACACAACATTCTCCGGGCCGAAGTGCAGCCATATCCGGAGCAAGTGTTTGTTGCGTGTTGCCGCGAGATGCACCACCAACCACCCAACCACCCAACCACCCAACCACCCACTTGAAGCCGGTACGGGATCAATCTCAATTACCTCAGTTCGGAAGCAGTTCAAGTTTGAGCCATGCAGCTTGAGGTCGCTTATGGAACTAACTTGGCCAGGACTTGGCGCTGTAAGTTCAAGTTTGAGTGGTCTCTGGGTTTTTTTATGCATCAAGGCACCTTCGAATATTGCCATCAATTAGTAGTATCATTAAGGTATTTGTGGCATAAAAAAGTTTTTGATGTTTCGGTTATCCTTTTAGTGGCAGGATGCTGGGCTGTCATAAGGCCTGGCTGTGATGGCATAAAGTGAACACTCGTAAAGCACTCAGCAATCCGGCAAAAGGCAAAAATGCAGATGTCCGTTCTGCTTGTGTCGTTTATATTTGCCATTAATCAGGCATATCCATTTACATGTGATGAACTTTATCCCTTAACCTGTTTACATGTAAATTACTTGCTGCTCATTTTATGTTGAATACATATAGGATGGAGGATGCACAGGCACACAAAAGGACATACAGTTGTAATTCTGAAAATGGCTATAACAGGGATATTTTTTCTTTAAAACTTTAATACCTTAATTGGTTTATTGCAATGCATTATGTTGAGATTACGAAGGAATTAAGTCACAAACCAAACCATTGAAAATCGATCTTAGGAAGATGCGCCTGTATGTATGCAACGTTGCATGAATAATTGAGATCCTGACAATGCAAGCATTGCGATGCATTTTTCATATTTACATTCACCTGAGCGCGGGGAAACAGAGAGAGAGCCAGAGACAGGAGAAAAGGATGGTAGATGGCAGAAGACAGGAGCTCTGGAATGGCATACTTAAGGGTTAAATAATATCAGACATATGCAATTGCCATTACAACATCCTTGTAATTGCCAAAATAATGGGAATTATGCCTATGAGAAAGTCAAATAAGCACACACACACAGACACTCACACACTCGAAGCACACACCCGGAGAGACACAGACACAGTACACCCGGACGGATAGTTAATTGAGCTGTTGGCTTACAATTCAAATTGCGGCCTTTTGTTGTTCCCGCTCCCGTTACCGTTACCTTTCCCAATGCCGTTGTTGTTGGGCGTCATTAATGCGAGTGTTGGCACTTTCGCACGCACCTTGCCTCTTGCTCTCGCCTACGCACCACTCGCCATGCCAGGCCATCCCAGGCCATGGCATGCCCCTTCGCGCGCTAAAGTTTGCTGGTAAACACATTCATAAAGCAAATATGCAAACACACTCACCAACACACTGGCGCACGTGTACGTACCAGCAGTAGTCGATGGCATCAGACATATGCTAAACGAACCGAAGCCAGGCTCTCCTTCCTCTTCCTTGGCCCGCCCTCGCCATCTTCGCCAGCTCGCCTTCCGCCATACTCGAATCCTGCCGACCCGAAGCTCGGCCGAGCCCCAGTCCGAGGCTTCGGCTCAATGGCGGCGTATAAAAGCCGCTGTTGACTGCGCTGTCGGCTGCATTCTGCGTTCGGCGGCGGTGGACGCTGCTCTCCGACTCACTTTGCTCTCAAGCGCGTCTCATTGTTTGGCGCGGCAAAAAGCGCGCGCAAAAACAAAAAGCCAACTAACTAACGGGACTAAAGTCGCGCGCGTATCTCGCGTAAGCTTGTTTACTTTGCCATTATAAATCCGACGGCGGGCGCTTTGTTTGTGTTTGTGTTGATGTTGGTAATTCTTGTGTTTCCCTCCCGTCTGCACTTTTTTTTTCCTCTATTTGTTATTGTTGATGTTATTGTTGTTGTTGTTATACAAACAGTGCCAAAGAAATAACAGGAACAAAAGCTAGTAAAATAAACGGGAATTTTGCTAAAGAAAGTATAAAAAAAAAGAAACCAAAACAAAACAAAAAGCGGAAACGCAAAAAAGGAAAAGTGTTGCATTTCCGTCGCTTCTCAGCGAAGACTGTGTGTGTGGTCTCTGTTGCTGTCAGTGTTGTTGTTTTTGTTGTTTTAGTCTCTCCCTTCCATTACCGTTAACATCTTGGCGAAAAAATGGCCGCAGGTGTTACCAACAATTGGCACACAACAAAAAAAAAAAAATGGCAGTAGAGTCACTTCCGTTTTATTTTTACTTTTTTTTAAAAAGAATTTATATTTTTTTAAAAATTTAATTTAGTTTTGCATGTTAATATCTTATCTTACATTATTATTTAAGTATGGGAAGGGAACCTGTATTGAAGCTCCACTGTATCCAAATTGCTACAAAAAACAGATCCGACAGGACCTGCCTGGAGGTCGACCTCCGCCTGGAAGAGATAGAGCAGAAACCGCAGTCGAGTGTGCCTGGCGGGCAAAAAATACCCCAAATGGCATCATAAAATCATTTAATTGATGATTTAGTGCAGTTCGTGATATCAATATAAAATTCAACATTATCAGCCATGTTAGCTAGTATGCTTCACCCAGCTCCTCACCTCCCCACCTCCCTATTAGATACATTTTTACAAGCATATTTCAAATAGCGTTAAACCATAAGGACTGTGGCAGGGGCATTACGAACACCTGCGTTAAACATTTATGTTTTTAGCACTTTCTGCCGTCAATTTGACACTCCGCCACTTAACAATGCAAAGTGGAGAATCTCGTTAAATGTCTGGCCAACTCCAGAAGTGAAAATAATCGTTAAAAACACTTTACTCAATGGCATATTGTGCATATATATGTATATATTTTATGGATATTGTTTTAGTCTGACAGGTTTTTTAGGGTTAATGAGTTTTGAAGTTCGGGCACTAGTGTGTCAGGAAGATCCTTTTTTGGGGATCTCATTCTCGAAAGTTTATAATGCCCAGAAATCTGGCTAGAGACTTTTTGGAATCAACTAATCAAAATGGAAATGCATTCTCTATTAGGGGGGGAGGGGCTGAGAAGCGCCAACGTAAAATTAAAATCAAAAAGAAATACTCGCACTCGTACAGAAGTTTGCAAGTTTGGCTTAAAAAACAAAAAAAAAAGGAATTTAAGTACTTTGGAAAAGTATTTCGCTCGGCGTGTGGCTCAGAGAGAAGATGGCCGAAAACTTTTGGCACAAAGCGTTTGGAAATTTCATTTTAATTCGTTTTCAATTTGGTCTAACCAAGTGGCAGGAGACAGAAGACAGGAGACAGACGGCTAAAGACTGGAGACTGGAGGAGGGGTGCGACTTAATGCCTCCAGGATTGCTTAACTCATGCCCGAGTTGACAAAAAATGTGCAGATCCTAATCTTGGCACGGTGACAGGACTCGAATAGAATAATGGCCAAACTCCAACGCAACAGCAAAGCTTGTTTATAACATTTTGTTTAAAAATGTGTATTTTCCAAGTAAGAATCCTAATCACGTGGTGTTTTTTTTAGATACATTGCATCTGTGTTCAGAAAATCCTATTATTTTCTCGGTAAATCCCTAAAAACCAGGACACGTGGTGTCTCAATAATGCTATACAAAAAATATAGCATACTTTTGCGGGACTTTGTTCCAGAAGGAAGCAAAAGCGAAAAACCAGACAACCGGATGTAAAAATGCTGGAAGCAATAGTAATTTCTTTGTGATATATATGATATATATCTTGTCCATTGCATTTGGATGACAGTGGTGCGGCTTTTGGCAGAAAGTTTGGTCCCCGAAAACCATAAAGTTACAATTTGATATGAGAGGCAAGAAGTTGGATGGATGACTTGCGAAAGTAAACCGCAAACTGATTAATGCCATTTATGCCCAACAAATCCACCGTTGTGTAGCCCAATTTCCGCAACTTTGCCACAAGGAGGCAAAGGCTGCAAAAGAAAGTGAGTGAGTGAGTGAGTGAAAGTGAGTTACTTAGCTGCTGTTGTCGTCACACGTAGCTGCTGGCACGTTGAAAACTTTTTGCGGAACAAGTTGAAGGATGTACACGGGACACGGAATGTGGCAAGTCGTAAAACGGGGCGATGCTAAAAAGTATGCCCCCACCAAAGACTCGTATTTTAAATACAGCCAGTCAGGCACCAATAAAAGAAACCACCTCCCTCCACCTTCCTTGTGGCATCTCTTTAATATTTTGTCTCCCATGCCACCGAACCTCCCACCACCCATCCATCCAGCCATCCATCCATCCATCTCGATTGTGGCAGATAAATTTGTCATGTAAATACAATACAATGAACGTGTAAACATTTATTATGTGCTTACATTTTCGTTGTTGTCAATTTTAAAATCTGTCATTGGTCTGATTTAAATTGAACACGGATTTGTTTTATTACTCCCGCTGTGCGACATGTCCGAGGGTATGATGGATGATGGTTTTTCCGGCTAATGACACTTTTAAATATTAAACTTGGGGCCCAGCCTTTTGGGGGATTAGCTACTAAAAAGTGATAGCCCCCTTTTTTATTTTGGTATAACCCTATTTATAAGGTATAGTTGATTCGTTACATTTATGTTTCCTTTTTTTTCGATTTCGCATGAAGAGTATATTTTGTGGCATACATTACAGATTTGATTTCCGAATAAATTGGTTTTTTTCCAATCGCAACATCAACATTCACAGCATTAGTGACTGCAAGGAATTGTCAACGGTTCACGATAGGCGATAAGCGACAAAACGATAAGCGATAAACGATAAAGAAACGATCACTCCATTGGACAGGCTCAATCTCGTTAAAAAGCTGAAAATGACGGTGCAGTTGAGCAGCCAAAATGGCATTTGTCCTGTCCAACAACAGGCTTATCACCATCGCCAGCATCGCCACCAGGGCCAGGAGTCGAAGCCAAAGTTGAGACAGGACCAAAGCCAAGTCCTTCAAGGACACTCGATGCCGTTGCTGCCAGTGATGCTGCTCCTGCTGATGGCAACGCTTCTCACTCGCCCACTTTGCGTTATTTCCAATCGTAAGTAGTGTTTTAAGGATAAAATAATATACTCTAAGACATTAATCTCTTAATAATAGAATATAAATATTTATAAATGGTTAATTATATTATTAAAATACATATTATTAAAATATTACCCTCTTGGTTTTTAGGTTATTTTCCATGGTAGGGTTCGCTCATAGGAGCTGTATAATTTCGATTGATCTTCAGCGTAATCGATAATCGATGTTTTCGATTAAAGCTCACGCTTCCATCTCCAATACGCAAATGCATAGGCGGCACTCCGGCAAGTTCACTCCGTTGTTTGCCTGCTTGTTTATAAAGCTGTCCGTCCGGATGGATGCCTATCTGTTCCCCCCTCCCATCACTCCCTTCGCCTGTGTGTGTGTGTGTATATGGGTAATTGCGTGTGTTTGTGTGTGTGTGTGGGGATGTGGAAGCATGCGTGGGGCATTAAGTTATCAAGTGGAGCGATGGGAATGGCATCGCCAAAGAAGATGGCGGATTTGCGGCCAGTTCTGTTCTCCTCTCGACTGTGACATGTTTGTTTGTTTCTCCGCTACAAGCATTAAAATTCGCAGGGATTCTGTGCCGAAGGGGGGGGCGGCCAGGAGCAAGGACAAGCCAGGGTGAAGCCGGTCGGAGCAGAGGAGAAGCAGTCTCCGGCTGGCTGAGTAGGTGGCTTCCTCGTAAAGTTCATGGCTTGGTGGCTTGTTTCTACAGACGACTACGACTACGACTACGAGGGAGTCGACGCCTTGGCTGGCAGCAGAAAGCGTGCATTAAAAATCAATAGAAGTTACAAATGTATCCTTCCATTCGGCAAAAAGGGCAAAACATTTGTGGCGCCATTTGTGCGCTGACAGCCAGAATGGCTGACTGACTGACTGAATAACTGGCTCCATGCTTCACTGCCCGGCAACTCGACAAGGGATTCCGTCAGAGGACAGGTGCAGGTGCTCCAACGTCATCGGTCCAGAGATTTAACAGATCCTTGAGAAAAGGACTCGTAAAAACGAAATTCCATCAGGAATACCTCTTAAATTTGAAGCGAATCCATTAGGCTTACGATAATCTCCGCCTTACAAGCCACAACTCCATTCACTTAACTATTGGTAAACATATCGGTAAGTTAAAGAAAATCCATTTACTGGACAGTCAGGAGCGTCACTCGAGCGATGCTATGCAAACTCCCGCCAAATGCCCAAACATCGATTCCAAGGCAACAAGTCCAAATTGGTGAAGCGCTCGAGTTTCGTTTGCCATTTGGGGACAGTTCATTGGTCGGATGACAGCAACAAAGAGCATTCATGAATCATAAATGGGACAAACATTCTTAATGGCCATCCTAGATGGTCTGCCCATATGAACCACTGAGAGAAAGACTACCAAACATTCAAAAAAAAAGGCGGCTTGAGGCTATGAGAAGAGGTCTCGCATTTATTCTTAGTGTAGATGTTTGTTTGTGTTCCCAGTATTGGCCATTCATTGGTTGTCTATAAAAAAAAATTTGAATCCGTATCGTAAACATGGAAATAAGCAAAATAATTTGTTATTTTTATGTCGTCCTCCTCACTCCCCATCCTCGATATCTTCCGCTCAAATTACGTATACGATGTGTGGTCCCAAATCCGACACAAGTGTCTGATTAGTGCTGGGGCGCCTCTCCAATCTCTCCGATCGAATCCACTCTACATATTTACCTTCGGACTCATAAATCCATAAGGAACTGACAAAGCCCTCGTTTTCTCTTCCTTTTCTTGTCCGGCTTTTTAGTTCCTTTTTCTCCGTACTCCGTATGCCCCGGTCGGCTTAGGAGAGATTTGCGTCAGCGGGACGCCACTTTCCCGGAAGCCCCATCCAGGATAGAATTTATATCCGTATGTATATGTTTATGTAGCGTTGGACGCCCCACACGTCCTCGACGTTTCGCTTGGGCATTTTGCTTACCGAACAATTCAATTTATATAATCCAATGGACAGTGTTCCAGGCAGTTCCAATTCCATTTCCAGTCCCGGTTAATGTGTCACCGACAGACGTCCTGCCCGTCCTGGCCATCCTGGCCATCCAAGGCTATCCTGGCCAACAGCAGGATGCGAATGTCACGTTAAACGTATCACGTAACCGGATGCGTGTTACATACAGCTTTCCTTCGTTTTATTTATTTTTTTTGTAATTGTTGTTGTTGTTGTTACTGTTGCCTTTTGAGCCTTCAAAGTTGCAAAGTTGCATGCCCCCCCCGCCCGCCATTCATACGCCCCAGCCGCGCATATAGCCCTTTTTATGTAAACGTACATTTGATTGAATTCTGAATCAATTGAAAACCCCTCTGTACGAGGTGAAATCTGATGATAGGAGCGTTTTAAAGTCTCCCAAAAATCGTGTTGTCAGTCCCTGCTACGAAAAAAAGGCACAAAACTATTTTTAATTGCCAAATCCATTTAGTTTTGGCTGGATTGTCTTTGGAATCAATACCAATACTTTAATTCCTTATGTTTTTTAAGTATTTTTGCAGTAAAGATTAAAATTTACACTTAAATCACGCATACGCACTGTTGTCTTTCAAAAAATGGCTTAAATACGTGGAGGGCTTTACTAGTTAAGGCTTTAATTGATTTTTTTATAAGCTACTTTTTACAAATATTTATAGATTTTTTTTACGTGTTTGGATTTCCTCTATTGAAATCACGTATACGCACTGTTGCCTGCAAAGAAAGGGCTTTGTTAGATGAATTATTTCAATAAAATAGTTTTAATCCTTGTAAGAGCCTTAGTTTAGCTTTTTTTAAATGCCTACCTATTAGTGTTATTGATAGTTCTTCTCCATCTTCATATTTAAATCAAGTATACGCAGTGTTGCCTCCAAAGAAATACTTGTTTTTAATAGTGCTTGCTCGGCAATACTCTAAATAATTAAATTCGCAAATTAAAAGAATCCTGGCCATCCATCGAATTGAGAGCCCAACCTTTGGCATTTGCCCCATCCTTGTTGTTCACCTTTCGCTCACCTGTCCTGGCCAACAACTGCGTCTCCAGCTCCGGCTCGGGCTCGGACTCGGTCTGCCACTCGTCCTGGTCGCGTCTGTGTTTATTTAATTCGCGTAAATTTTTATTAATTTTAATTGAAAGCTTTACGAGCGTTTAGCAGCACGCTTTGAGGTCCGATCCTTTCGTCTGTCTTGCTCTTTCACTCTCCCCCTCTCTCTCTCTCTCTCTCGGTCTTTGTCCTCCACCCCTTTTTTTAAACTGCTCCTTTGTTTGAGCTTAACTTTGTTGTTGTTTTGTATATTTTATTTCTTTTGGTGTATTGTTTTTGTTTTATGTGCTCAGCTGCAGCCCCATTGTTGTTGTTTTTTGTGCTTTGGCCCTGTTTTAGTGTTGATTTAGTTGTTGTTATTGTTTGGAGACTGTTGTTGTGTGCAAAGTGCTGCCGTTTGTTGGTTTATTTAGTGTTTTTGTTGGCCCGGCACTAAGCTGACTCGACTGGACTGGACTCTGGACTCTGGACTGGAATTAAGGGACTGGAGGTCGAGAAAAGATGTCTCGCAGGAGACAAGAACCGGAACATGTGCCATATGCAAGGACCTTGCCATACCCTTTCAATATATTTTTATTAAATTTGCTCATCAGCAGTGTCATTGTTCGCTTCTATCGCTTGAATCAAAGCCAAAGCACAATGTCATTAATTTTAATCGCAAACCCAAATGGCAGCCCTCCGCCGTCCCATAAAAGTATGCTACAGTAAATGTGAATATGCAAATTAAAGGATTCTCGCCAAATATCAATATTAATGATGCTGCCGCAATATTTAATACACTAGCAAATAAGCAATTAATATTTACGATATATCAATTCGAGTCGCCAGAACACCTGAAACCTCTGGGTCGTTTATTTGAAATTGTTTCATTTATCATTGCTGGCATATTGTGAATATTTCAGAAACAGTTATCTAAGCCAACGCCAGGATATAATGGCAAATGATTTGGCCAAAAAGCACTGCTCCCTGGCCACCTTTTTCCTGCCACCTGCGATGGCCCAGAGCGATTTTAAAAGTTATTACCTTTCTTATCGGCCGAATCGTTTTTTGCTGAAACACTTTCAGACAAAATATACAATGAAATATTTATTTAAAAATATTATTTATAGCAGGTCCCTATGTTCTCTCTTATTTAAAATATAATTTTAAATAAATAAATATTTAAAAGTCATAATAATAAGAGTCTATATGATTTCTTTGAGTGTGTTCGAGTCAAAAGCCGAGCGAATTCCCCTGACAGCAAATTTCCTTGCTCACTTTTGGATAAGCCCAGTCACCTGGGCTCCCTGCTTTGCGTACTTTGTAGTATTTTGGCCTACTCATCCGACCCTCTGCAATCAGTTGACAATCGGAACAAATCATTCGCCAAGGCGACGCAAAAAAAGGAGAGAAGGCTAAAAGCTAATGAGCATATAGATAGCCATAAAATGAAGCCACACATTGGGAGACGATGGATGGACGTGTATTGGATTTTGGTGTCAGGCTGAAAACTTGACTGAATAAATAATAAACGGCGAACCGAAAAGTTTTTTGGGGCCAACATTCAGTGGAGTGACTTGACTTGGCCGAAAGCGTGGAGAAAACTTTGGCAACCCTAATATGTTGTGGGGCTTACGTGAGGTGTACGTGGATATCGCAGCAGCAGCAGTAGCAGTAGCACCAGTAGCAGGAACCGGACCAGGTCAGGAGAGGCCAATGATGGCCATTCTGCGACGTTTGCCAATTTCAGTTCGATTTATTTAGTGGAAACCAATAAATAACCAATGATGTATGTCTCGCTCACACACTTGCGGAACTCTGTCCCATGAGTGCAGTATGGACAGTGGAACAAAATGGCGCAAACGAAAGGATATTAGAAAAAAAAGGACATTAGAAAAACGAAAACTGACGGGGCGTATGAGTAATGAATCTTGTTCAAGAGCCTTTCAGATTCGATTAGTTAGCCAGAGGATATATTAAAAAATAATATTCAAGACACTG